TATATATATATATAGTGTGTGTGTGTGTGTGTGTGTGTTATTCAAGTTGTTTCCAGTTTTAGGGGTATTGTAAGTAATGCTGCCATTTTAGCACATAATTTCTTGGGTTACAGGATAGAGCTTCTAGGGATGACTTCCAGGTGACCACACACCCCGTATTCTGGCAGCTCCAATTACTTCTTAGTACCCAGGAAGTTGAACGTAATACCCAAATTCACATTTTTCATGACATTACTTTTCAGCACAGGAGGGGACTGCCCTCTGTACTTTCACTTTCCAAATTACTCAAGTCCACTGACATGTGAAATGAACTTGGCATCCAGGCTCCAAGCCTACAGTTTCTGCAAGTGTGTAGCTTTCTGTCTGCATGACAAATACCTGAGAGACAAGTAAGTTAAAAGGAGGAAAGGCTTAATTTGGCTTATAGTTTCAGAGGTTTCAGTCCATAAAACTGTTGCTTTGGGCCTGTGGTAGCACAGCACACCATGGCTGGAGGGTATGGTAGAGAAAAGGTGTTCATCTCATGGTAGCCAGGAAGCAAAAGAGAGGAGGGACCTGGGTCCCAACAGCCCCGGGGTGACAAACCTATGGCACCAAGCCACAGTGGACTGTTTATATCACTGAAAGCTCTAAAAGGTTCACCATCTCTGCAATAGCCCCATCAAGAGGACATCCCTGATGACCTAACTTCCTTCCACTAGGTTCCACCTCTTAAAAGTTCCACTACCTCCCAGTAGTGTTACAGACTGTTGACCAAGCTTTTAATACATGGCCTTTGGGAGACATTCCAGATCCAAGCTATAGCAGCTGGGTAGAGGGTGGGGTGCAGACCAAGCTGTCTGAGCTACAATATCTACCACCACCTCCCAAGAGACTGGTTGGTATGCTAGATACTTTTCTGGGCAGAGGTAAAATACCTCTGCGAGCTTAAAGTCTAGTGAGAAAGGCAGGTATTGAACAAGTTAATGTGGATAATCCTTCTTACCCCAAAGAGAACTACTGTAATCATCTCTTGGAACTCAAGATTTCTGAAACATAATGTGGTCACGTTTCCCTCCAGGTACTGAGGAAAAGTGCAAAAACTGTTCTTCTTTTCTGTTGATTACATAGACTGTTAACATTTTGCATATTAACTTCATGTTCATCTTATTATTTTTCACTCTCATTTTCCCTGTATCCCATTTCCTGATTCATTTTTAATAATAGTTATAATGTATTTCTGTAAAGTATCTCAAATCTTCCACCTTGAAAAAGAACAGACTGACCACTGTCTGTGGGTCTCCATGCTTACCAACAAGGAGTCAGCCCACTCATAAGTTTCTAATACTACTATGGCTCTGTTGGGTTCAAAAATTTGGAAAAGTACAAATATAAAACAAAAGCATTTTGTTCTGCTTTTACAAAGGTAACCAAAAAGACTACTGAGAAGATTAAAAGAGGAAGCAACATGTTCTTTAGAATAAAAAAATTAATGTAGCACTCTCTACAATGTTCTATTATAATTGGCTTTATTAATGTGGAACAATTAATGGCAGCCAAACAAATGTATACTTAAATGGGATATTATTGAAGTTAAAGTTAAAATTAATTCTCTTCACCTCCCCCCACTTTGGTTTTGTGTGTGTGTGTGTGTGTGTGTGTGTGTGTACCAGGGGTCGAACTCAGGTCCTTGCACTTGCAAGGCAGGCTGCAGAATCCCTGAGCTAAATCCCCAGCCCAGCCTTCCCCCTTTTTTATGGTACTGGGAATGGAACCTAGGGCTTTGTATATGCTAGGCAAGCACTCTACCTCTGAGCTACACTCCAGCCCTCTTTCCCTTTTATTGACATTTAATTAAAAAAATAATAATAACTTGCCACTTTACAATCAATTTAAAATAGGTTGCTCAGAACAAGACAAGAAGAAAAGTGTAGACTGAACTGTTTATTCCATCCTGGCTCTTAGTACAAGATAGTAGTGTTTATGATTTTGAAAATTTACGGAGACTTTTTCCCTACATTGGTTCCTTTGTGATGCATCTTCTTGAGTTCTGTCCATGACTGCCACAGCAGCAGTCCTGGAATTAAAACCCACACACCATTAAAAAATACTAGGTAGACCCAAAAGTACAGCCAACTGACAGTGTTGAGGTTAGGGCTTCCCATAAGCCACTCTGGACAGAAGGTCATCCAGCCACCATATAGTTCACACACGCACAGGGTAATTTGTACGAAGTGCCTGTTGAAGAGAAAGAAGCCAGGAATAAAACTGTCAGCTTGGCACAGTTTGGCACACTGAATTGGGACATCTTTTTTAAGGGCAGTCTTAACACAGTCTTCACTACAAAAACCTTTCCGAAGTCGAACCTCAGGTTTTGCATTGTGCTCCTTTGATGGGTGAATCAACCAAATTAATAAGGTCTCATTCTTTCCTTCGAGAAGTAATATTGGTCTTCCTAGCATAATATGCTCTGAATTAAATAAGAACTCTGGGGTATCTTAGACTATTATGAGAAAGACGTAGGGGCATCACACCTAGCCCAGCAAGGGAAGACCTGAGTATGTATCAATACATGAGGCCCAATATCGCTACTGTAAAAGAGAACAATAGCAGTTCCTTTTTCAAAGACTGTTGTGGAGATTGAATGAGACATGTAGATAAAGGGCCAAGCACTGTACCTGAGACAGAGTAGGTATTTAATGATGCAAATATAAATATTTGAGATAATAGGTACATGTAGCAAATCTGCAGTCATGGCATGGAGCCCAAAGTTTTAAGGCACCAAGGTTAAGTTTAATCTTTACTGCTATTTGAAAACTGGGTGAGTAAAAAGCAGATTAAATGACTTTAAAGGTCTCTTTCAACTCTGAGATTTTTATGATGGAGCTTTACATACGACTTCATCCATATGAGAGAGCAGAAAATAGACTGCAGTTTTGCTACGAGTCATTGTTTTAGGGAATCATCCCCAGGATTGCCATCCCAAGTCACTCTGTCTCTCAGAAGTAAAGAAGAGGAAAAGAAGGAGGTGAGTTCAGAGTCTCTGAGTCTGATTCAGAGCATGGTTAATTTTTCAGCTTCCTCCTCCTTTCCACCCTTTGCCCTCCCATCCCCTCCACAACCTGCTTCTGACAAAGCTCTTACTTAACTTGCATGTGTAACTCAGAAGCATGTAACAGAATTTTCTATGTCAAGTAGGATAGGTTTTGGGTTTTTTTGTTTTTTGGTTTTTTTTGGTCTTGCTATGAAGTCCAAGCTGGCCTTGAACTCACTATGTAGTTCAGGCTGGCCTTGAACTTGTAGGATTCCTTCAGCCTCAGCCTACCATGTGCTGGGATTATAGGCATGTGCCACTATGCCTGGCACCCGATAAGTATTTTCTAAAGTGATCTTGGAGAAAGAAGATGGAAATGCTATGCCTTTTTCTTCAAAATATTGGTGAGCTTTATAGTTTAGATCTCAATTGTACCCCCAAAAGTCTCATGTGTTGAGATGGGGCTTTTGAATTGGATCACGGGGACATTAATCAACTGATGAGTTCATAGACAGATGTGCTGTTAGGAGGTGGGGTTGGTTGAGGTGGTCACCACAGGCATGATCTGGAAGTGTATATTCTTAGCCCCAGCTCCTCCCCTCTCCCTCACCACTCTCTGGCTGCCATGGGTTGGGCAGCTTTCCTCCACCATCCCTTTCCACCCTACCATTTCTACCTTGGAGCCAGCTGAACATGCATGGACTGAACCCTCTGAAACCATGAGCCAAATAAACCTCTCCTCCTTTAGATTGTGGGTGCCACGTATTTTGTCTCTGAGATGGGAAAGTGACTAATACAGTTGCCAATCACCTGATACTGTCTGTAGAGGCAAGAATGATGTTACAGGCTCTTATTTCTCACATTTTAAAAAATTTCAAATGGTACAAAATTATCTTGGTGACACCGTGACCCTTATCCAGTATCAAACAATTTTCATTTCTATTCTATCTTATCTCACAAATAAGTGAGGTCACAACCTACTCTAAATGTCATTTAGCCATTAGGACAGCTAATGTTTCTCCTCTTTTCAGCCAGACAGAAGAAAGGCACTTACCGATAATATTTCTCTTTGACTATGGCATAAATCAGGATCAGTGCCAAAAGCCCATCCAGGACAACAGTCAAAATTTCCAAAGACACAATGGTTGGATCAAGATAAAGCCATCTTGCATCAGCTTTGCCATATTCTTTCCCTAAGGACAAAATATCTGTTATTCAAAATACCTGTTACTTAAGCAGCAAGCATTTTTTTCAGAGTTAATGGAAATGACCTTTTCCCCTAAAGAAGATAAAAAGGATTCTCACTTCTCTGCATTTTTCATAATGCCTTTACAGAAGGCAAGGGAAGCCCCAGGACTTTTCCCCAACATAAATAACAGTAACAATAGTATGCTATATTTATCAAATAACATACAGTTTCTAAAGTGATCGCACATATGCACTTCCTCCACCCTTGGGACCTTTCCTTGGAAGCGGCAGAAATCTAAATTCAATACAGTGAGATTTTGCACATACAACCTTTAATAACAATTCTGGGAAATATATTATAATTGCTTAGTTTGAAATTTTAATTTAAAGTCTGTAAGTATAATTTAGATGTGGGAGCTGTTATTAAGGAAATGTTTACTTAAAAATACATTTGCTACCATAAATGGAGAGAAATTCAGTGCTGATGTAGAGTGACTCCAAATGGACAGACAGGGCATTGTAGTCTACTCTGGGGATATAGGGTTTGCTAGCAGTGACCTCAGTTGTGCTGAGCAGGGAGCACAACATGTGCCCTAAGAAATTCTCAGATCCATGATCAGAATGTCTTCGTACAGCCGGATGGGTGGCTAGACACCACAGAGACTATTTTTCTCCTTGCTTTTTATTTTATTTTTTTTCATCATTAAAGCAATCCATGCTGCCAGGTGTGGTGGTACATGCCTATAATCCCAGCACTCAGGAGGATCGATGTGGGTTCAAAGCTAGCCTGGTCTACACAGTGAGTTCATAGCCAGCCTGAACTACAGAGCAAGACCCTGTCTCTCTAAAAACAGCACCTTAAAAAAAAAAAAAGTAATCCATGCTGGTCCTAAGATATCCAGTGATGACAGTGAAAAGTGGACAGCCCCACCTCCTCTCTGCCTCAAAGACTGCTCTCACATTACCATGAAAAGGCACAAATGCTCAAAAATGAGCCCCCATATCTCACTGATCTGAGTAGTGCAAAACTCTAGTCTCATAATGGACAGAAGACTGAATCCCTCAGGACCAGGAATAGAGGTTTCTCATGAAAGGCTGTCCTGAGAGAAAGGACAATAAACAAGCTCACTATTTGGTGAGATAACACACAAGACACAGGCTACAGGGAGGTCTAGCATGAGGATACCAGAGCTGTCAGCCTGTCCTTAGCTGACTGTCTACCATGCGCTGAAGTAATGTGCTAACAGGAAAACAACAGAATACAGAAATATTTCCTTCACAAATACAAACCTTTATATAATCCGTAAAATGTGCAAGCTAGAGCACCCATACCATTACTTATAGAAAATGTCAATGTTTTAGGAAACAGAGTATTTGGAGTTTGACAGTAAGTAAAAAACTCCACTTTTTAAAAAAATATTGGGTATGGAACCCAGGGCGCTCTACCATTAAGTTACTTCCTAGCCCTTTTTATTCCTTTGTATTTTTTTCTTTTGAGACAGGATCTTGCTACTTTGCCCAAAGCTGGCCTGAAACTGGTGATCCTCCTTGCCTCAGCCTCCAGAGTAGCTAGGATTACATAAGTGTTTATCACCACGTCCAGCTCAACCATTCATTCTTTAATTCAACAAACTTTTCTGAGCATAAGGGAGGTTCTGTGCTAGGTCTTGAGAATGCAGCAACCTGAGTAGCTCGCTCTAGGGAGGCTGAAATCTGTGGTAAGTGATGGATGGAGAACATGGGGACCTGGAGGAAGTGGCTATGAAGCCCAAAGAAGGAGATGAAGGAAGATTCCCTGGAGGGGTGTTTTGTCCACTTCCTCTTCACCTTGTGGGTGAGGGAGGGAGTCCTACTTAGGGTCACAGAGAAGGCTGAGCACACAACGGCTGACACTGGACAGGTAAAAGAGATGCTGATTTATTAGTCATACACTCATAGCCTGGGGAGTGGGCCACTGTACTACTCAGGACTACATAAGGGCTGCACCAGGAGCCAAAGCCAAGGAGCGGGGCCTGGTAGCAACAGGAAGATGGGCTGAACCCTGGTTCCTGTGAGAGGCTGTGATTGGCTTTTTTGAATAATCACTCAGGCTGGCAGTTGAGGACAAGCAGGCACTACTCCTGGACCTCATGATTAAGGGCTAATGTTAAAGGAACTTTATCCACAGAAGCAGAATGGGGAGGGCGCTTGTATTTGGGCTACTTCAGATTCTCTAGATCAGTGATGGTGACCCTTTTAGAGTTTTCAGTGATAGAAACAGCCTGCTGGGGCACCCGAGCCATCGGTTCACCACCCCTGCTCTAGATTCTACCAGATACCGAGGCACACAGACATTGAAGATTGATTCCAAGTCTTATATCACAAGGGGGAGAGGGGTCCTTTGAAACTGGTTAGGGAGAAATCCTGGGTTCCAGAGAGGTGCTTGTGCAAAGACTAGCGCTGAGAGAACAGTGTGTCTGAAACAAAAGCTAAGTTGGCAAGGCTGAAGAATACTGTGTGTGGGGATGGAAAGAAAGGCAGAAAAGAAAGTGAAGGCCCCGCTCTCACCAGTGCAACCAGTCAAGCCTCTGGCATCTCCTCCTCTGCTGCTGAACTTTGACCCCCCTCCCCCATTGTTAAACAATTTGTGTACAACTAAAGGGCAAAGGAGACCATTAGAAAATGTGATGATGTAATGGTTTCTATTTATCTTGGGATTGGTAACGGCATAAGCAGAGGTTTAGAGGGACAACACTGAAACTGATGGCTGGAGGAGCTTCCCACTAGTTAAGCCATGAGGACATGGTGAGGGTCATTTTGCTTCAGCCCAGCTACAGCCTGAGAAGCCAAGGACAGTACACAGGGCCATGTCTAGGCAGTCTTGGCGCAGACCCTCTGGATCAGAATCTATGTGAGCAAGATTCTCCAGTGATTTTGTCCATTTTGGGGCCTGGGAAGCACTACTTAACTTTATGTTTTTGGTTTTTGCTTTTATGTAAATAAAAGCCACCTTCATTAAATGAGTTTTTACTTTTCTAATTTCAAGATGATCAAGAAACACCATGTTAGACATTCATATTTCACAGAATTGAGCTGAATCTGGGCTATTCATTTTCTTTGATGCTAAGGAAGGGCAGCCAGGGTGGGCGGTAGTAGCATGGCCTGTGACACAGGTGATAAGAGGGACACTCACCAGGGAGGGATGGTGACTCCACATGGGTCCGTCAGACTCTGGGCTTCAACAGCCATCCATCAGCAAAGTTTAATGTAAACACTGAACAGCATGGTGTACAGGTGCACTAAGCTTAGCCTGGGAACTGAAGTCGCAGGACTTCTACCAAGCTAATTTGGAGAGTCCTCAAGGGTTTTCAGAATCACTAACTGCAGCTGACTCAATTTTCTAGACGTTTCTAAGTCGCACATGGCTCTGGCTGGAGATTTTGGGGATATGAAACAAATGTGATTGACTTGGGGGTGTGGCTCAATGGTATGCACGAGTTTAGAATGTGTTAGGAAAGAGACGTTAGCAGGGGTGAGGAACAAAGTGCTTCGGGATGGGTAAATAGGGCATGCTTTGCCAGTTAGATTAAGTAAAGCAACAAACACTTCAATTTATAATACACTTATAATCATTTGGTCTCAGACGTAAACTGCTCCCACAGAGCACAGTGACATTTTGAAGTTACACACTGCATATTCCTTCAGGCATCTGGCTACATGACCACCTATTTCCACAACAAGGCACACAGTATCCCTGGGTGCCATAGTCTACACCGACGATAGGGTAGCATTTTTTAAAAAGCCTTCCCTCCTTGGCCTGAGACCTCATTTAGATTCTTATATGATTAAGGCATGCAATTATATGAGGAATACTGACCATGCAAAAAAAACAAGGAAGACATTTCTGAGATACCAACATTCCAAAGTAACCCCTAAGAGAAACAGTGATAAGCATAATCACCATAGGTTCCTGAACCCAGGAGTAACTTTTGCGTGCCTAAAAAGATATCAGTGCAGATGTCTTTGTGGCCCAGCCTGTCTTCTTGCTTGAAGGCATAATTCTCTCTGTATCTACATAAGAACACATTCTACCTATCCTTCTGCATGGCCGCATATGCAGATTCTTTCATCAAGGGCTCAAAGAACTGAGGACCAAGAAATGAGAAGCTGGTTCTCACTGTGTCAAGCTTCCCGGTGACAAATGCGTGAGGCCCTGATAAACAATGTGGAATTACAGCACAGAATCTAAAAGCAGTTATCCAAGCAAAGCAGTTTTACAAAAGTGGCCAAGATGGTGCTTGCTAGGTGGCTCACTTACTTTCAGTACCGACACAGAACACGGTGGGAAGTGATACTCACTGAATGTTGGCTGATTTACAGCAGACATGAGGAAAGAGGGAAAACTAGGTAATAACCACAAGGCAGAAGGAGTTTGGGAAACTACAAGAACACAAGTATTGATGTACAATAAAAAGAAAGTTGATATTAAAAATATGAAAAAAACCCCACCCAGTTTAAATGCTGTAAGCTCTTTAATCTGCACTCACATAAAATGTTTTTTTAATACACAATTTTATTGAGGTGTAATTCACATGCCATGCAACTCCTCTGTTTAAAGAATGGGCTTTAATGTACCCACAGCTTTGAACCACCACAAGTGAATTTAGACCATTGCATTACTCCCAAAAGAAACCTTGACCCGTTTTAACAGTTCCTCTCCCCTCAGGCGCTAGGCAACCACTAATCTCTCATCTGTGCCTACAGAGTCACTTATTCTGAACATTTCATTGACACAGAATCATACAGTATGTTATATTGGCATTCATTTCATTGATGATCACATTTAGAATTAATCTGTCATTTCAAATGTAAATGTTTTTAATTACTTACATAAGGATGCAATCAAGCCATCAGAATGGGCAACGCTTCCTACTAAGGACAAGTAGACAAAAGGGCCTTCCTAAAGAGAAGAGAATGAAGATATGTTCTAGTTGAGCATCACAATGACAGGATGGCACCACAGAATGCCCTGCATACACTGGGCACAGCACAGCAGCATCCACCAGTGCCCAATGCTGGGCAGAAGCCTGGGAGTAGACACCAACACAAACTTGCAGGTGCGATCTTGGGAGTCTGGCAACCCTAATTTAGCAAGAGCTATGTCCCAAGCTAAGTTATAGTGTCAGTTTTTCAATGACTAGCATCATAAAATCAGAACTGTCTTCTTATGTGGGAGAAATATGTGGAAATCTCACAGTATGAGAAGAGCTTAAATAGAATAAGATCTTGGTAATTCCAGAGACCTTAAATCTGTGGAAGAATCTCATAGGAGCTCATTTTGTTTACCTCAAAACAAAAAACAGATAAAAGAACTCCAAACCCAAGACCTCTCTGTAGCAAAAATGCTAATCAAATGTCTATACCAGAATTGAGGGTTTTTTTTTTCCCCTAAATGAGGGTGAATTTAGGAAAATTTTAAATATGTACAGGTTTTCTCTTGCCATTAGATAATGAAATACTTGTAATTACACTAAATTTCCCATCACAGAAGTGTTTCTTTGCCTAACTTTCATAAACCAAACTACTCGAACTTTTGGGGATATCTGATACCATATTGCTTGATCCTTTGAATAAATTTTCTGGTCAGTCAATACAACTCTTTTTTCTCATTTCTTTTCACCAAAGCAATTTTGAACCTGACAGGAAAACTCTCTCAGCCTCCCCTCTGTTCACTTCTAGTACTGCTTTCACTTTTAACTGCCTCTGGTGATTATTCCTAATTCAAAATATGCCAACAGCCATGCCCTCTCCCGCTTGGAGATGCCATTGCTCCAGCGCCAGGAAGGTAGCAGTGCAGGCGCCCCTGAATCCCCATAACTCCCAACAACTCCCCTAACCACCCTCTCGGGGGGACTCTCAGACCTCCTGATTGTGCCACTCTTTGGACCCACTCTGCAGAGGCAGAGGTGGTCATCAAGGGTATTTTTCTCAGTTCCCAACTTTGAACATCTTTTAAGAAAGGGTGTGGGAAACCTGTAGTAGAACGTTGTGGAGTTCAACCATTCAGAAGGTTGGGTAACTCAATCTGGGCCTTGCAGCCCGAGGTCAGTCAGCGTCATGGGGTTCAGCCATCAGCTAACTGAGATCAGGGGTCTTGCGTCCTAGCTTTGTCTGAGCCCCATCCTAAATGGTAATTATACTATATTGAAAAGTTTGTTCACTGCAGACATGTTCTGGACTGCTTCTTGATTTCAATTTAATTCAAATGGTTTAAGGGTGATAGAATAGTGACTACCACAGGTGGTCAGTTTCCAAGTTGTGCTTGATCATAATGTGTTGCTGATTGTATCGGTTGGGATAAAGGATAGTGGTTGATCTGATGAGCTGTTTTCTCTGATGTTATGAAGATGAGAATGTCTGTGGATCGTTAGAGACCGAGAAGCTAGGATGCAACTATATCAGGAAGATTTGGGTGATAACCCAGAGATTAAACCAAGGACAGCCTGACAACAAAAATAAAAATGAGAAAACACTTAAGCAAGACACAAAGACAGATTTCCAGTTCACCAATGGTAAACAGTAGGGCAAATGAGGATGAAAAGGCCAATAGTGAACCACAAGAACACCCTGAATTCAATGCACAGGAAGTAACAAAACTGATCAATCAGGCTCTAGAAAAATTCAAAACAGAAATAATTTCCCAGATAACCATAGAGATGGTGAGCAAAATGAAAGTTGTGATTCGAGACTCTAGAGCAGAAACTGACAAAAAAAATAGATGAGCTCAGGACCACGATAGAAGCCATGAAGGGCCAGCATAAGAAAGAAATGGAAACAATAAACGCCCAACATAGGAAAGAAATGGAATCCATAAAACAGATATCCAGGAGATTAAACACTCCATTGAAAGTGTACGCAACAGAATAAAAGAATGAGAAGATAGACTCTCAGATATAGAAGATAAGATTGCAGTCAGTGACTGTGAAAAGAGAGGTCTCTTAAAAACAGTAGGGGATCATGAGAAATCAATCCAAGAACTCCTAGATGATGCAAAGAAGAATAACATAAGACTGATAGGAATACATGAAGTAGCAGGAGAAAATACAAAGGACTTAAAAAAGCTGTTCACAGAATTAATGACAGAAAACTTCCCAAACAGAGGGGAAGAATTTGACATTCAGATAACTGAGGCATATAGGACCCCAACTAGCTACAATCAAAAAAAAATCTACACCTAGACATATAATAATCAAGATCTTGGAAACCAAGCAGAAGAACAAAATACTACAAGCAGTAAGAAAAAGAAACAAATCACATGCAAAGGAAAGCCCATCAGAATCACAGCAGACTTTTCAACACAAACCCTTAGGGCAAGGAGAGCCTGGAGTGAGATATTTCAAGTCCTAAAAGAGAACAACCTCCAACCTAGACTGATGTATTCTGCAAAACTCTCTTTCGAATGGATGGGGAAATAAGATACTTCCACGACAAAGAACACCTGAGAAACTACATGAATACTAAACCAGCACTACAAGGAATTCTAAACAAGATCCTAGAAACAGACAATGAAGGCAACAACACCATGAGGCCCAACAGAGCAAATCAAATAGGCAAGGCAAGAAATTAAAAGGAAAGTGTGAAAAAGTAAAAAGAGTCAACAAAAGGTCAATAACATGTCAATAATAAGTCAGTACATATCAGTTATAACCAGCAATGTCAATGGCCTCAACTCACCAATCAAGAGAAATAGACTGGTAGAATGGAATAAGAGGAAAAATCCAACAATATGTTGTATACAAGAAACACACCTAGTACAAAAACAAGCCCATAGACTGTAAGTAAAAGGATGGAAAACAATTCTCCATGTGACAGGAGCCCAGAAAAAAGCAGGGGTAGCAATCTTATTTGCAGACAAAGTAAATTTCAAACCAAGACTGATTCTACTATTACTGATGTAGGACGGTACTGTATCATACCTCTGTGAATGTAAAATATCTTGTACCTGCTTTATGATACGTAGTAGGGACTGTGCTTTATCAGAGCTATTTTTAATGATATTACTCTAGAATGTTCTCTCTCCAGATGATGATTAAAATGCTAATAAAAAAAAACGGTGCCAGGTACCACAATAGCAACAGAACTTTGCTGTTTTCTGGGTATTATTCTTTTCTTTGTTTGTTTGTTTTTGTTTTTTTAATGGAATGTGGTGAATGTCTGTAATTTTGTTCATATGAGTTCAGAACCTGGAAAAGCTGTTGCTGCTATTGATGCATAACATACTATTATTGGCTTTTTTACATATTTGAATTTTTGGAAACTTTAACTGTGCTGTCAACTTTGGGAAAAGTTATCCCAATTTACTGTGTTGAGTTGGCATTGTACAGAAATTAACAGCCATATTAGTCTAGAAATGTTAATTTTTTTTCCATTTGTATGGGGGTAATGCACTGTATTAAATATGTAAGGTCATATCTACGTGGGTTTGATTACAGAAACTAATAAAGTATTCTCTAAATAATGAAAAAAAGAATAAGATAAGACTACAAGAGCAAGAAGCAATTTAAATATGTTCAGGGACCATTTTCATCTTCAGAATTAAGGATTATTTTAATCTTACATCATTGCCTTTTCTCTTTTACTTTCCTTTTTAGTTTTATGTTAGGATTCCCTATTTTTAATGTTCATACAGAGATTTCTTTAACTGAAATACCAAATAGTTTCTCTGGTGTGGAACACTATAGTAGTACACAGGATCCTAATGAGATAATTAATAATGTGAAATAGGAAGTAAAAGGCTAAAGGTGTAGGGAAAGTGGGAAGGGTGGTGGAAAGGTAATAAGGGAGAGGAAAAAAATATGAGAAAATGAAAAAATGGAAATAAAGTGTTTGTAAATGGGGAGTGGAGGAGGGGGTGAAGGGAGGGCAGGGACAAGAGGAAAAAATGAGAATCAAGACCTATTATGTAAAAGCACAGAATCCCAATAATGAATGTAACTGTACTGTACACCTAGATTGTACCAATAAACTCAATAAAAAGAAAAAAAATGCCTTTATTTCTTCAGACTGCTCGTCCTGAAAAGTTATTCTTTAATTTATAATATAGTACTTCTCCTCGTCTTTCCAGTTCATCTAAATTTGACAATTATGCTATTCTTCTATGTTATCCAAATTTGTATCTTAAATAATAAACTGAAAACCTGAGCTCACTCACTCCTCAATGAGGCACAGTATCCATATTTTCTACAGGGTAAGAAGAGCATGAGAGGCCCCACTTATGCCTCACAGGCCTGGGTGTTTCTGAGACTATGTTTCCATTCTTATTCTGTAAACATACTGGTCTTCTCTAAGTGGATCCTAAATAGCTATTACAACATTGTGCTTACAGAAATACTGTTCACTGCAATGATCACAATCTTTTTCACTACAAATTCAGCATCTTGACTCCTGTATCATTTAAGGAAAATGTTCTACCTAGAATCCCCTTTCTTCATGAATATCTCAAAGTCATAACTATAGTGTGGTTTGCTTTACATTTGGGCCATGACATGTATAAGATATTTTTGCATATTTTAGTTTGTAATTGCCTTTTTTTCCCTGATTGAAAGAAGAAATCTTATTTTCTCCCCATCTCATAATTATCTTCCAGCTCCCTACCATTTTAATCTATGCTGAACAGAAGATTTTTTTTTTCGATAGGTTCTATGTAGTTCAGGCTGTTCCTCCTGCCAAAGCCTCCTGAGTGCTGGGATATAGGCAGGCACCACCATACCTGGCTTGACCAGAGGCTTTTGAAGCTGGTTTATCTTTTCTTGACATTTTTTTTCCTGGTGCTAGAGATTGAACCCAGGGCCTTGACACCAAGCCAGGCCCACTCCTTTTCTTTTTTCATGCTAATTTGGGCTGGGATTAAATTTGTGATCAGGCTCACAGAGTGCTGACCAGGATTATAGGGATTATAGG